ATGGCACGTCACGTGATCCCAGGCCCCGCCTTGGATCAGCGACCTTCCATCGCGGCTATCCCGATGGTCTTCCTTCCTGCGGCCTGCATAACAAAAGGAAGCAACTCCTTGTTACCTTGTAACACTACACCGTCAAAATTGTAGGTGGTGAGAAGCTGAATGAGACTGCGAATGAAGGCTTGACGGTTCTCAGAAGAGGCTACCATGTTGCTAAAAGCAGTTCTGGTGTTCGGTATGTTCGTTGCATCGTTAAACGACCAACCTCCAACGGCAATCCAGGTCTCAAGCGAGGGCTTTTTTGACTTCAGTGCGGTGAATCGCTGATAGAGGCTTTCATCGCCTGCTGTCATTGGCGACATTTGAAATGTGGTGGGATCGAAGAAAGCAAAAGCAAAGTTGAGATGCGAAAAGGCAGTCAGATCGATATCCTCGGGCTGTCTTTTGTCACACGCTCGTGTCGTTGCCCTGGTACCATGTTACTAGGAGCTCTCATATCTTTTTGGAATCTACCTAGGTACTTACCATCCTTCATAATAACCCACCACCCTCTGCGACGTACTGTCGCCACCACAAGTTGGTCGAGGAGCATCTCCGCAAGTTCCGTAACCTGTCTGGCATGGGCGTTCTCCGCTAGTTGTACAGAAGTCGCTAGTCGACCCACAGAACCCAAAAAAAGAACAGCAGACGTTCAGAGGGCAGTCTCTTTCTCCTGGTTTTGCATATTGGCCGCAAGGAGCAGTAGCATCGCAGTTCGAGATGCAGTTGCCGATATTGCATTCGGCGGGCGAAAAGCCACAGATGCCGTTTTTGCTACAACAAGCCCCATTCACACATGGCGTGCCTGGTGCACATGTACCCTCAGGTAAAGCTCCTTCGGCTCTCTTTTGCAAGTGATGTGCGTGGTAGTGGCGGTAAGAGCCATGATGAGAACGTCCACCGTCTGTGTGGTCGATATCAAGAACACTTCTCTTGTCGTTGTTTTGAATCTTAGCTTGGAGGGCTTTGATTAAAGGATTGGCTGTTTTTCCCGTTGAATTGATAAACAGGGGCGTCGAGTTGGAGTGCTTCTCAAACAGTGGCACATATAGGGCGCTTCCGTTCGAAGGTACAGCAGGGATTGTACCGTTAGATACACTCGCCTGGGCTCTAGCAAGTGTGAAACAGACTGGCCATAAAAACCACGGCGATAGATGTCTCATGATTAAAGCCGGCTCAGTCGAGTGAGTATCGGAGGAAAAGGCGTACGCTGTGTGCAAAATATCGATGAGCGGATACCTGCATATCAGAACTTCGAAATCCTGTCAGGTTCTATCCCAAGGTATAGCCCTGACCAGGCGAGATGGCAAATTTGACTCCATTCCATTTCCGTTTTGGCAAAACCCATACTTCCAAGACGCTCAAATCCCTCCTGGCGTGGTCGCGCAAGAAACAGACCATTCCGTTATCTTACGGACCGAGCCTACCGTCGTAAAAACAGTATGAATAAGGAACCAGGAAACTATAATAGGATTAAGACGGACCCTGATTCCGTTCGTTAGGCGGTAAAACGACGTTCAGTCGCAGCTAGACCAACTACTAGTCCCAATCTGGACACATGACCGCAGAAAGTTTCCTCGACTGCGCCGCTCGTTTGCAGAACCGAACGCGATACTGCAATGCATAACTCGGTATCTTCACCATATGGAGGAACGCGCAGCAAACTTTTCGCGACTATGGTCATTTCACTTGCAGCTCTCCATGCTTGGCTCATCAGAAAAGACGCGATGGATTATTGGCATCATGGTTCTGGAAAGCACGGCAACGACCAAGTAAAGCTAGAGAGCTCTCCGAGGGATCAGTCGACACCAGATGCCGATGCATACTTTGATTTGAAGCAACCTCTACCTTGATTGTCAGTTCTGTGTTACCTTCGTACTCAACATGGAGATCTATATGCTCCTCTTCCTCACCTGCTTTGCGATACGATGCTCGAACGCTAGTTTCAACCTTCTTGACGGATTCGATACGACGATCCAGGACGCGTTTGGCGTATCATCGAAATGCCTCAGTGCGGTGTATGTATGCTGTACAGTAGCGCTGCTCTTAGTTAATATGTTCTCTGTAGAAACGCAACGATTGCTTGCGATGAGGCAACCGCCAAGATGGCCTCGCAAGGAATGGACGAAAACTACTGGTATGAAGAAAACATAACGACTCTCTGCTCATCTGAGTGCCGATCTTCGATGACATCTTGGTTGAGCTTGGTGGAATCGGACTGCAAAACAGATACAATTACGCAGGCTGGGAGCGTTGTAAAAGCAATCACTGTACCGCTGCAGTATACGTATGCTCTTGACCTTGCGTGTCTTCAAAACGAGTAAGCTCTCTATTTCCTTCTGGGACTGACTATTGACCTGGCCCAGCGCAAAAGATTGGTGCTTTATTGAGTCACAAACCTGGGTCGGTAGCGACTATGTCAGGTATGACCCTGAAATATGTTTCGTGGAGAACCCGCCGGAGATTTGCGAGGACACCTCTTTCGACCCAGATATCATTGATTCTACACTTCAGTCTGTCGTCGGGCTGTACGAGCCGGACTTGTACTGTGACGAGTGTTTCCTCAAAATCTGGAGACAGCGCCTACTTTCGCCATTTCTCACTACTGGAGACTGGACTCAATTTCGCATCGACGCATTCGAAGAGCTGCAAAGCAACTGCTCAATCCACATGCCTTATGTCACTTCCGACTATTCACTGTTCGTTGGTACTCCAACAGCCACGCCAACTGCGACATCCGCAATACACATCCCCCCAGCATGCACATTTGATCTAGCGAGCGGACAGTACATCTGTCCTACTGCGTCAACTTCATGTACGGGACAGATCGTAGAAGCCAACCCTGAGCTTCGCGGTTGTAGCGCCATTGCAGATGAATTCCACGTATCCACCGGCGATCTGAGAGTGGCCACAGGAAACGACTTCTGCGCCTTCCAGGAACAGATCTGCCTTCCCTTGCCTTGTACCACTATCGAGATAACTAAGTACGATGAGACATGCTCCGATATGGTCAAGCAAATCTCGAATTCGACACACAGAGTCACACAGGAACAGTTCATGGGCTGGAATCCTCATCTGATGGGTCCTTGCGATAGCATGGCGTTAGGACAGCGTATCTGCGTAAGGTATGATGTTTGACGGTTCCTTTGGTCGCTTCCGAAACTGATCTGATCTAGTCCACCTGGAGATTACTGGGTGTCTAACACTACCATCGTCTCGCCTCCGAGCGGCGTCCCAGTATATTACACCACAGCTACACCGGTCTGGCCCACGCAGAGCGGTTCGATTGAGAATTGCGGGCGCTACCACGAGGTTGTAGATGGCGATACATGCAATCTGGTGTGTCTGATATATGGCGTCACTTTTGCGGTGCTGCAAAAGTTCAACACATATCTGAACACTGATTGCACGAATTTGTGGCTCAAGTCCTCAGTATGCGTTGGTGAAGTAGTGTACTCACAGCCAGTATCAACAGATGGTAGATGCGGGCTGGCAAACGGCAATGCGACTTGCACAGGCAGCGAGTTTGGCTCATGCTGTAGCACTCACGGTTGGTGTGGCGATGGGGTCGATTTCTGTAGCCCGGGTAAATGTTCCTCTGGTGCCTGCACAGGTTCGCCGACAAGCACGAAGGACGGGAGATGTGGGCCAGATGCGGGCGGGTTGACATGCGATAATCCGCTCTTCGGCCCCTGCTGCAGCGTTTATGGCTACTGTGGCGAAGGGCCCAGTTTTTGTGCACCTGGAAGTTGGTAAGAATCTGCGCCTAGCGGTATGAATGATCCATTACTTACAAGCGATATTAGTTATTCTGGCGCCTGTGATCCCGAACTCGGAGGTCCTTCGATAACGGGTGAATGTGGTCCACTTTTCCAGGGCAACAAGACATGCGCAGGCACACAATTTGGCCCTTGTTGTAGCCAATACGGGTATTGCGGGAGTGGGGACGTGTACTGCAAGGGCAATAATTGCCATTCTGGAGCTTGTACTGAATGAGAGATATTCTTCCGTCTTGGTGCCAAGACTCTTGTTAGCCGAGGTTTTTCGTCTTAATCCCTGCGCACGCGCACTAGGTGTTACCAGTACACCCACATGGGCTGGTATCGCACGTGAAGGTCGCATTACAATATGCATCATTCTCAGTTGCATTATGGTTCCACACTCCTACTATCATCAATCCACTACTGAGCATGAACGTCGACCGATGCATCGCGCTGCACAACGAGATTTTGCGCCACGGCTGGGTTAGCTCGGGCCGCCGTCTAGAGTCTCTCGACTCCACCTGCAAGACGTGGTTTGATACATTTGGCGATGCCGCTGAGGCCATTCGTCCTCAACTTTCACCCGATCTTGTTCGATTTCTCGAGCATGCTCGGGTTATCCAAGATCCAGAAACTGGGGCCGATCTATGTTTTTTCTACTGGTTTAAGAACCTTGCTGGACCGAAAAGTATGTTCAAACAAGCAGAAGGCTGGTTAGATTATGGGAGATACGGCCAGCTTCTAGTGCTTTACTCGATGAACAACTTTACAGGTCATTGGTGTGGGTTGGTGTGAGTTGAGCAGTTCATTTGTGCAGCATTATGATGTGACACGTACTGATCTTGTTAACGCAGATACGACCAAGAAGCACACCTCTGTATTGTCTGTCCGAGTATTCACGATGCAGACGAGATCTTCGAGCAGAAAATCTGGTATCCATTGGAAACTGCTTTGGAGTTTTGGCTCGGTCAGGTCCGCAAGGGGAGAATTGCTACTCCGCATGAAGGCGAGAACGAGGACTTGGTCAACGAGCGCTATGATCCCTGGCAATTCATTCCATACAACGACACCATGCTAGAAGAGAATGTCGATGCTTTCAATCGTCTGGTAGAAGCCATCGAAGCTCGCATGCCTTCGGCATACAGGCCCGCAGAAGCTGAAGGAATTGTACATGGGCTAGTGGACGAGAGCGCACTCCAATCCATAGATCTCCCGCCGAGGTTTGCATACAAATTTCTCTGTCGAGCACGACGTCCCCGCTTTCAGATGATAGCTCCAGGTCTTGAGATCCTCACCAGTTCCACATTCTCCGATCAGCCCTTCCGCTCCTACTTCTCTTCTTCGGAACCTGAATTCCCTCCGATTCTTCTTTTCCGATCCGGATCCAACTACAAGGACGACACGACGCCACATTTTGTCACTGGCGAACCAATGCCTAGCCTATTTACCGGCTTCAGTCGCATAACATGCTTTCCTGCAGGTCTATATCTGCTTCCAACTGGAGAGGTGAGAGCTGAGGACGAATGCATGTTAATACTCCCCTTTGGTATAGGGTCAAACGGATATGCAAGGAAGAGCGATGGAAGCAGGTTCGGACGAAGTAGGACTGGGGGAAATAGTCACGTGGATCTATATCGTCCGGGTTATCAGCCATTTGAGGAGCAGCATGAGCAGAGTCTTGTGGACGTTTTGAAGAATTGGAAGGGTATGGTAGAGAGGGGCGATTGGCAGATTGATGAAAATGGAGTTGCAGGCGGGATGGATGTATGGAGAGAGGCAGATAGTGAGGAGAAATGGGAGGCATATGTGATTCCGAGGGCCGTGGAGGGAGTAGAGAGGTAGATACAGGGATGAAGATACGACCAGATGAGGTTTTGATGGTATTATTGGTTCAAGAATGGAAGATACTGAAGAAGGTTGCAGCTACAATTGTCCGCATAGAGCGTTTGCCGGATGTGTGCCATACCTCTCTTCCTAAACGCTCTTAGCATACTACCAAATGAGTTCAAGGCGGTCACCTTCAAACAACGAGTCATTGCCGACGTCCACCAATTCTTCCTTCGTGGAAATAATCCACCGCGAGCTACTTATAGTCATTGTCCGGTTCATTTGCCAGTGGATATTCGTGTAGATCATCTTCGGTCTCTCTCGTTCGATCCCGACGGAGTTGTACATGAATATCAAGCCTACGGTCTCGGAGTAGAGTGGCTTATTTGCGCATTTGATAGCGTTGAATGTGCGGAGATCAGGATCATAACCCTTGTATAAATTCTCGTAGTCGGGTTCCAGAGGCTTGTGGAAGAGGAGGGGAATTGATCAAGAGAGCACAATTTCACAGATGCCATGAACTGCATTTGATTCTTTCCCAAGGATATAATCCATGTTCGCTGCTGTGAATGTAACTGAACCTGACTTACAGTTTCGCGGTTCGGCGGGGAGCTTGAAGGAGGGTGGTTGTGCTGATGTTTCATCGAGTCTTGTCATTTGTGTGGAGGGTCTACCTAGGTACTATTGCATAAGCTTAGATTACCATCTTCAAGGAGCCACTATACCAAGCGAAGACATCGGTAGAAGTTGAACAGGTGGGGAGGTGATTGGGGAAGAATTAATGTGCTCATCAGGTCCATGGACACTATACGCTGTAAGTCACAAGAGTTGTGCAGGCAAGGTAGGACTGCAAATTCTTTGTGAATAGTCTACTCGTACAATGGATGATTCCCGCGTATTGGAGGCTCTGAAGCCTTTTTCTCGTGTATATTAAGGGCTTCTCTGTGGACTAGTCGTGAGCTTCCAACCCAAATAGATTGAATCGCATGCAACCTGGAGCAACATGCCGATTTCAGAATCTACGGCCTCGGCCACCAAAGAAGGCTGCCTCATTCTACCCCCAGAACTCCGGAACATGGTTTACGGATATGTTCTAACCACACCAAGCGCAACCTTAGAGTACACGATCGACGACGCATCCGGCCATAAACGAATCAACCAGCTGCAATACGTTAACAAGCAGCTAAATGACGAGTGTGCAGATCTTGAGCTGAACTTTAATTCAGCCGTGATTATCTCTAGTTGAGTGGACGACGACACCACTGCTACTGTGCAATTCTTTGGATTTCTCGCCTATCTTCCACTGGAGAGATAAAAACGGTTCCAGGCTGTCATCCTGCACAGTGCTGCACCTGATGCCAGATGGGAGAGTCCACCCAGAATTTGTTGAGAGCTCTCGCCCTGAGGACGTAGTCGTGTTCGGATGTGCCTACTCAGACTTTCTCCATGGCGATCCAAGGCCTGAGCTTCAGGAAAAAGGAGAAAAGGTTGGACAACATGTGGTGCGTATAGCAGGGGCGCTGAGAAAGTGGAGGGACATTCATCCCATGTACACGGATCCTAGGTATTATCATGGGAACTTGCGAGCGGATAACCTGCACTTCTTTCCAATGGAGAAAATCTTGAAATCAGATAGATGCCTTGGGGTCCAGGGTCGTTGGTTTAGCCACGAGGAGAAGACTAAAGATGTTGCGCCAGTATGGAAAGCTGCAGTGCGAAGGTGGGTGACGGAGGGCGTATGAGTGGTGGAGAAGGTGGTGAGTTGCGCTAACCGCATGTGACGATAGTCTTGGCAGTCGCGCGGTCCTCAACGCGCCTGCGCCAAAGATTCCAGACATCAACCCCAGCTTTCCGCGCCCGCTACATCACGACCCAAAGCGCATCGATCGACGCGGCGCCTCTGTCGCATTACCCCAGCAATCATGTATGGCATGAATCAGGTCTACGGGCATGCTCCCGACCCGAGTGCGCAGGTGCCGAATCATCTGCTTGCCCATGTGCACCTGATATCCTCTTACCGCTTCCCTACTCTACCGGGTCTTCAAGCTCCCCAGGCGCTCGAGTACCTGATCAAAGGCCCGCAAATCGTGCGCGACACGTCGCCCGTCGCGTGGACCTTCCTTTCAGCACCTCCCCAAGATGGCACTGTCATCCTCACATGGCAGCCCCCGCGCATGGGCACCATGTTCGCGTCAGACGGAATGGTGTGGGCTGACGCCGAAACTGCATACGATATGAACGTACGCGGATATGTACGTATCTAGAGGACACGATGCCCGCTTCAATGACCTAACATATCATAGACTCTCCAGGTCCTTGTCCACAACAGTGGATACCACTACCCTCACGAACCATACGCCATGCATGCGCGCCATCGTTATCGAATTGCTGCAGGCCCGGGTACTATCGATCCCAATCTCTGGCTTGTGCACTACAAGCCGGCAGATCCACAGAGCAGAATGCCTGCCTCGCAAATACCCATTCCACGAGAAGTCCAGGCCCAGATACAGATGCGCGCTCAACTACAGCAAGCCGGGCCATTGATGCGCAAGGAGTTCATGTTGGTCGATCAAGCCAATTGGCCAAAAGTCGAATTCGGACAACAAGCCATGAGAGGCCCGCAGCCCTACTACAACCCCATGCAACCAGGCCGACCATATCCTGCGCAACCACCGCCAGCCAAACGCCAGCGCTTGCCAACTCAGCCTCAACCTCGCCAACCCGCTGCAGGCACACTAGCACCAGACAACACACTTGAGGAGGAGGAGAATGCGACACAAGATGCCTTCGACTTCCTGACCCCGCGCGAGATCAGCTTGTCACGTTACAAGCAGCATCACGAGTGGATGGAAGAGATCTTCTCGTCACCTTATGCCGTCGGGAAGATTGTACCTATCGATCTAGGACTGGGCCTCATGGGCGAGCTCGCCCCGCTTACTGCAGGCATTCTGGACGTTCCAGGAGCTGAAAACGTGGAGCCGGGCAAAGAGAACTACCAGGTCAAGAACTACTACAAGCTGGATGCGGAACAACTCAAGGACTTTGAGAAGCGTGTATTAGAGTATACAAAGAACGAGCAGGCCGAGATTGACAAGATGAAGGCCGACCACGCGAAGAAAGTGGCACAATTGAAGCGCACCAGAACGTACATCAAGGTCGAACGACGACTACGAGATCTTTCCCGCTCTACCGAGAGCGACGGCGAGGACGCAAACCCGGTCGAAGGAGTCGTGCAAGATTTAGAGAAGACGCTGGGAGTTACATTCGACGCGAAAAAGGCGGTCGTCTGTGTAGACAAGGGTGGATTCATTGAGCCGCAAGCACCCTCTCCTCCAAAGGCACAGATGAATGGCAACGGAGCCCAACAGGAAGCAAACGGAACATCGAATGGCATGAACAACCAAGGAACAATGGAGGAGAACTCTGCCGCGGGTCTGTTGGAACAGTATGGATCGGGGTCACTGAACGGCACACCCATCGGCAATATGTCACTACCTAGATTATCACAGCCACCGAGTCAATCGCAGTCTGCCACCGGTACACCCAATGCGCCTCACGGCAACATGAACCAGACATCCACATTCGATCAGCAGGACACAAGTCTCGACGTAGGAACCGACCTCCTAGATCTGGACGTAGAGATGTCTGGAATGACTGGCGCAGGGGAGAAGACTGATGACTGGACGATGAACGATCAATCTGGCAATGCACAACAGTCGACCGGCAGCGTCCAACAACCCAACATGAACAACAACAACCAGCGCACAAACAACGTCGGCGGCATGTCCTCGTCCAACATCGAAGCCGACGCAGGTAGCATGTTCGACACAGCCGACTTTGGTAGTTTTGACAATATCGATAGTGCTGGAGATGCTTTGGCGGATTATGGGCACGATGACAACTTGGGCCTGGACCTTGTTGACGATTCGGCTTTTGGCGATGCGTTCCATGCGACGGAAATGCATCATGACGAGGCCGGAGAAGGGGACCAGAATGCGTAGTATGCAGGTTTGGATCTGGATTTAGATGGCCTGGATTTGGATTGATTTGTCTCACACTCCAAAGTGTTGGAATTTCTCATTCTTGGGGTGAGGAGGAGGAGGGGCTGTACTATTACGGTGTCGTTTTTTGTTTGTTTGTTCGACTGGGAGTCGAGGGCGTTACCATGTCAATGGTTTACGACGAGTATCTACTTTTTTATCATCGTAAACTTACGTGTTTAGAGAGACTCTATCTCTTGCAGTTTTTTTTTTCAAGTAGATTGTGGCGTCTGCCATGTTCGAATTTGAATAGGAAGGTGTTGCAACTATGGCCGATTACTCAACGGTCGAGATTGTGGAAAAGCGTGTTGCAATATTGTAAAGTTCACGGCACGACTAGCATGGTGTATACCTTGTTTCTCTTGATACTCGTGCTCAGCTGTCCAACACAAGATCCGCTACTTCAATGAGAGAATTGCACCCTCTTCTCCAGTCGATATGCCGTGGAATTTTGATCAGGAGAGCTCCCTTGCATCGAAGTCATTCCTAATGTGAATGAGTGTATACGACTTCAATATCGCCTCGTTCAGCAGAGGTAGCTCACCTTAGCAAAGACCTTGCCGTCTGCGGGTGTCCACTATGCTGTTGATTTTGGACAGTGTCAAAAACAAAAACCGCTGTTGCGCCGTCATCATTAGATCCTCAAGAGCTCATCGTAAGCTGTTGTCTGGTTCATTGGTTACTGCGATTAGAGAGTCACGTCAATTCCTGAGTAATGTTTACGACATCACCCCTTTCGCATGCCGATGTAGACACGCGTAAGTATTGGCTAGGTTTTGTCCATAATGCTGAGAGACGTTGACGTCAGCAGCTATATCCTCGCTCCGTAGCAACACGGTAGGCGACCTTCGAAACTCAGCTTCTGCCCACGATTACACTGTCTTCGGCTCCATGTGTCCAGAGTTTCTCGGCTTCTCCGCAAAAGACGCTTTGGTCCGTGAGATGATGCGCTATATGGTGGTAATGCAACGTCGC